CTATCTTCCAGAAAAGGAAACTGAGGCTTGGAGATGTTATTAGCAATTCTCAAAGTCAAACACATGTACATAGTGAAATAAAGAATCATAACCCCAGGAAGTATTTCTCTGACATCAGCCACAGTAACATTTTTCTGGATATGTTTCCTTAGAGAAGGGAAATAAATGCAAATATCAACTATTGGGACAACATCAAAATAAAAAGCTTTTGCTCAGCAAAGGAAACCATTAACAAAACAAAAAGACAACCTACAGAATGGGAGAAGATATTTGTAAATGATATATTCAATAAGGGATCAATATCCAAAATATATAATTTATACAACTTAATACCTAAAAAACAAACCAGCCATTTAAAAAATGGGCAGAGGACCTGAATGTTTTCCAAAGAAGACATACAGATGTCCAACAGACACATGAAAAGATGCTCAGCCTCACTAATCATCAGGGAAATGCAAATCAAAACCACAAGAGGTATTACTTTACACCAGTTAGAATGGCTAGCTAATGTCAAAATGACAAGAAACAACAAGCGTTGGTGAGAATATGGAGAAAAAGGAACCTTGTGCACTGTTGGTGGGAATGTAAATTAGTGCAGCCATTGTGGAAAACCATATGGAGTTTCCTAAAAAAAAATAAAAATGATCCAATAATTCCACTACTGGATATTTTACCAAAGAAAATGAAAACACTAATTGGAAAAGACATTTACTCAACCCCTCATGTGTTTATTGCAACATTATTCACAAAGGCCAAGATATGGAAGCAACCTGTGTCTATCAATAGAAAATGGGATATTACTGGGGCACCTGGGTGTCTCAGTTGGTTAAGTGGCCAACTTCGGCTCAGGTCATGGTCTCATAGTCCATGAGTTCTAGCCCCTTTTCGGGCTCTGTGCTGACAGCTCAGAGTCTGGAGTTGCTTTGGATTCTGCACCTCCCTCTTCCTCTCTGCCCCTCCTCTGCTCATGCTGTGTCTTTCTGTCTTTCAAAGATAAACATTAAAGAATAAAAAAAAAAGAAAATGGAATATTTCTCAGCCATAAAATAGGATGAGATTATGACATTTAAGACAATATGGATGGATCTACAGTGTTCTGTGCTAAGTGAAAGAAGTCAGAGAAAGACAAATATCATGTGATTCTACTCAAAAGTGGAATCTAAAATAAAAAAGAAGAAACAAACAGAAAGCAGAATCAGATCTATAAATACAGAGAACAAACTGATGGTTGCTGGAGGGGAGAGAAGTGCACGATTGGACAAAACAGTGAAGGGGTGGGCAAGATAAAGGCTTATAGTTTTGTAATGTATATATCATGGGAGTAAGAGGTGTTGCATAAGGAAAACAAGCAATGATATTTTAATAGGGATATAATGGGACAGAGGCAGCTACACACGGTGAACATAGCATAATGTATAAATTTGTCTAATCACTGAGTTGTACACCTGTGTATGAATTAATGTAATATTGTGTGTCATCTATACTCAAAATAATCATAACCAGGTTTATGGATTCTGGACACCATCCTGTTCCTTCTTCTTCTTCTTTTTTTTTTTTTTGTTTGTTTTGTTTTTCAGTTGAATAATTAATTTTCTTTAATATGAAAGCATACAAGGATTTTTAAATAATTTTTAAATGTTTATTTATTCATTTTGAGAGAGGAGGGGTAGGGGCAGAGAGAGGGGGAGAGAGAGAATCTCAAGCAGGCTTCACGCTGTCAACACAGAGCCCAATGTGGGGCTCAATCTCACAAACTGAAAGATCATGACCTGAGCTGAAATCAAGAGTTGGTAACTTAACTGACTGAGCCACCCAGGCACCCCAAAATATTTGAGGTTTTGCATTTGTCACTGGTCAGTTTTGACCAAATCCCAGAGGCTCAAATATTTCCAGTCTTTACTATCTACTAAATAATTTGTCTTTAATTATATGATAGCTACTAACCCAAAAGGTTATTATAAAGAAAATGTATTTCGTTTGGCTTTAATATGCTAATTTAATTAGTCTCATTTTACAATTTTTAATTAGATTCTCTATGTTAATTTGCTGGTTTAGAGAATGCAAACATGGTAAATGATATATTTTACATTATTGTGATATTTGTGTCAGTAAATGATCATTTTGTTGCAAGTTGCATTATCTGTTGGTAGTATAAGATATATGTTTACTGGTATACATATTTAGTGTATATAGGTGTATATATGTATGCATAAATCTGTATATATGTAAATGTGTATATTTATATATGCATATGTACAAATATATTCAATATCAATATATTTTTAAAACTTCAAAAATTTTTAATCTATCAGGTAGATTAATATTGTGTAAGATTTCACTCTCTACATGTACTTCTATCAATTTCTTTCAAAACTTTTAACATACACAGTAAATAAAATTTTCTTTTTACTTTGAAAATATGCTATCTGAACTAAAAAATTGTGATTGTGTTCATTATGGAATATAATATTTATTATCATATATTTCCCTCACTTGATCTTTTTTGGTTTTGAATGCTATCTTATTGGACAATAACATTATTACTTTTCCTTAGCTTATATTTTTATGTTTCTCAACTCAACCTTTTAAAATTCCATATATATGTGTGTATATGTGTGTGTGTGTGTGTGTGTGTGTATGCACACATATGTTTATTCTGTTTTTCTTATGTTTATTTATTTTTGAGAGAGAGAGACAGAGACAGAGCATGAGTGGAGGAAGGCAGAGAGAGAGGGAGACACAGAATCTGAAGGAGGCCCTAGGCTCCAAGCTGTCAGTCAGCACAGAGCCTGACGTGGGGCTCAAACTCACTAACCCTAACTGTAAGATAATGACCTGAGCCGAAGTCAGATGTTCAACTGACTGAGCCACTCAGGCACCCCTGAGTGGTTTATTCTGTTTTAATGTTTAAACCAATCTGACACTTTTGTTAACAAAAGTATTTCATTATTCTCCTTTAAAACATGTTTCCTTCTTTCTTGTCCATCTGCAATTTCTATGGGTACTGTAACTTTAAGCCCAACTTTCTTCCGAGGATAGGATACAAAATTCAATGTCTTTGAGAAATAATGACATTTATATAGGCTGAAAACATTGATTTCTGTTAACTTGAGAAAACTGGAGTTAGATTAAGCCTTAACTCCACATTGGCAAGAGCAAAGTGGCCCATAGTGAGCTGAATCAGACCTAAAGAAAATTACCGGGCCAATGTCAGATCCCTTATCACCAAACATTTTCCAAAACAAAGAATTTATCTTCTCTAGGAAAGATTAGTGTTTTTCCACTCTTCATCCTCTCTAAAATTTATTCTCAGGATGTGGTGCTATGAGATGCAATGTTTTGTATGTGCTGTCAACGTGAGCATGAGATGTGTCCACTGTGAAGCTTCGTAAACCTTCAAATCTTCCTACAAGTAGGTGGCTTTAACTCACATGTGCATCACCTGGGTCGTCTTAGATTCTGCCTGGGCACAGACCCTTGAAAAGTATTCTGCAAACTTATAAAGGCTTTGGAAAGCTGCTTTCTATTGGCTTTTGAAATCAGTCTCAAACTCTTTCAAATTTATTTCTGTCAAGTTTCAGAACATGAGGTAGTTGTTCTTAGATGCAATGAAGAAAGGTAAGTTTGCCAATATTCCAGAGAAAACAAAGGGCCTAATTGTTGTTGAAAATATCCTCTGCATACTCTGAGCCATCATGAAACACTTAATGAGTCATGTGGCCCCAAATGAATTTCTTTTTTAACACATAAGACACCTATTTTAGTGTATCTGAAAATTTATGTATCATATGATCGTACAGGGCTTCAACTATATTATCCCCATTTTCAGTTGGCGATATAGAGATTTTTAAAGCTCTGTATAGCTTTATTCATGTTGATAGCTAACAAAGCTATTTCAATGTTTAAAATAAAAATATAATTTTGGAACGTTTTCATAATATTGGCTTCTAATTTTCATATGTTGAAGAAAAACTTTGTATCTTTCTTTTTTAAAAATGTGATTGTAAACATTTATCCATTGAAAAAATCTGTATTGACTGGTCATAAGCATTAGCCCAAATAAATTAATCTGACTTATTAACTTAAAATATTTGGATTTAAAAGTTATTAAACTCTTTTCATCTTTTGTTAAACTATAATACTAAATATTCTCATTACTACAATAAGCATTTAATGACATGAAGTGACTCTTCATTTATTAAGACTTTTTGTACTAATGTGGGATTTTTAGAATATTGCTTAAATAATAAATCCAAGGTAAAAGTCAAAGGGATACAGAAGAGACCATTCTGAAGTAGTTTTTCATTAAAGTGATGATAGGAGGATGCACATGAAAAAATATATAATGTAGCTTAAATCTTATTTCAAAACCTTTAGGAAAGTAATAAAATTGTAGAAATTGAAGAACACATCACCAAAATGGTTCTATAATCTAAAGATAAAAAGGATAATATATGTATTGTAGTGAAAAACATGCCATATAGTCAAATTATTTTTGTAAAAGGAAATAAAGCAGTCATCAATGGAAAATGCATTTGTCTAACATCTGTACAATACAATTCTTTGGGAGTTTCAAGAAATACACAAAAGCAGACTTGTATCTTTACTGAGATCTGATTTTCATATTCTTACACAAAGATTTTTAAAGAATTCAACCTAGTAGTGGACCGTGCAAAAATATTTCTTTAAGCTTAACAGAAATACTGAGGTGGCAGACAAATAGCCTTTAAAATTAGTTTTAGCTTAAAAAAAATTAGTTTTAGCTTTACAGAGCTAAAGTTAGTAAGGCAGACTACCTCAACACAATTTTAAGTACAAAAAAGAATCCTGTGAATTTATGACAGAAAATCTGGATCTAAGAATTCACAGATAGTTCCCATTTTATAGCAAAACATCCATACTAGAATTTTCCATGTCTCATGCTCTAATTTTTTGGTTGTTAGATTTAGTTTTTATACAAAATAGGGACACTTTAAAGACAGAGTTGATAAATCACTTACCAGGTGCCTGCCTTGAGGATCTGGAGGCCCAGATTTTGTTTCTACAGAAATTAGTTACTGGAAATTTCCCTCTGTATATTGTTCAGTCAACCAAGATAATCTGTCTTATGCATTACAAAGGCAAAAGATAAAGTCTATAGAGCTGTATGAGGCTGACGATTAGCTGTACAAAGTCCATGTATTATTGATTAAAGTAGTAAACGCTGAAGGGAAGGTTTTTTGTTGTTACCTGTGGTGGTAGATAGGTGGAAACAAAGAGCCCATGGAAATCCATGGGATCTGGAATGAACACTGTCCAATAATCATGTGCAGTAAATGGAGGCCCTTTCACTTTTAATTTCAACTATAAAAACAAAAACAGATGCCGTTTCATGGCTCCAGTGCTCTTATTAGAAACTGTCACTTAAAGGTGATTTATCCGCACCTCTAGAACTGCATGGGCAAATTAGACCAGCAGGAACATGTTCCCTGTGTCAGAGCAAAGGGAAAAGAACATGAAGCCAAGAAAAGTTGGAATATATTCTGTTCCATAAATGAGACGTTTACCATCCAGAGCCTGATCTATAACATCACTTTTGATCTATATCATCTGGCAATAGTGGTGACTGTGGTAACAAATTCTGTTTCAAAATAGGAAAAACTGGGTTGAAACTCTTGTCATTTTCCATATGATCACAATATTATATATGACATGCTTCCTTTTTGTTTTTAGTCTTGAAATCATGTTGTTGACAAAGGCAAAGTTATTTAAATCTGTGAGTTTATCAAGCTGTACAGAAATGGAATTTGAAGTTGCAACCTCTCATTCAACAAAATATAAAGATGTTTTTTAAGTATATTTATTTAGTTTTGAGAGAGACAGAGAGAGAGAGAGAGGAAGGGAGGAAGAGGAAGCACAAGCAAAGAAGGGGCAGAGAGAGACTGTGAGAGAGAGAATCCCAGGCAGGCTCCACACTGTCAGTGCAAAGCCCAACATGGGACTTGAAACCATGAACCATGACATCATGACCTGAGCTGATATCAAGAGTCAAATGCTTACCTGACAGAGCCACTCTGGTGCCCCAAGATGTAATTTTTTATATTATCTTCCTTTGTGAACATACAACTGTTCCTTGGACTCCAGTGGGAAAATCTTGATTAAGATTTTATCTTGTAGTGTTTCAGGGAAGAAACTAAGAAATAACCTGAAGGTCACGCTGCTACAAACTTACAGGAAGGCTCACATCTGGAGAAAATTAGATACCACTTATAGATTAGTCTGAAAAACAGGGGAAAATATTTCTAGTTTGCCTCCCCATAGGACTTGCAGCTAGAAAATGATGCTCAGAGGGCTCTTCTCATGCCTCCAGTTCTGTCCCTTGGACGAGACTGGAGATTTACGTTCCAGAAAAATTGCAATTTATAGATTCAGAATTTAGTGTTACTAGATATAGCTGTGGAAAACGTGTCATTAATGAAAACAAGGGAATTCAGGGATGAGACCTTAGGTTAGTTTGATTGAAGGATGCAGCCCACTTAATTTGACCTCATGAAAAAGATCCTGGGAAATAATAAGCTTAACTTTATTCTCATCCTTCCCTCAGATCTTCTGCCAAACAGAACCCAGAGGACCCCAAATCCTGTTAATGTAATCCATACACTTCAAAATCCTGTTAATGTAATCCATACACTTCAGCCTCCCAAGGCTAAAAACAGATGGAATCTGGAGGGGTAAATTAAAGGTATCCAACATTGTAAACATGTCCCATTATTCAAAGGGTCTACTTTCCCAAACCCTAATTATTATTAGTCTGAAAAGCATTGTCAATTTCATTTCTGAAACAGTATTTTAAATATTCTTTTCTGTAGGGATACTTTTTATAAATAACTATTGTTTAGAAATAAATTTTAAAAATTTGCATGACCTTGTGAGTGCACCCACACACACATATATGAGAGAGAAAGATAGAGAGAGACATGCTTTAGTCTGAAGATGAATTATATATAGAATGAGATTATAAGTGTTTGAGGGATGGCAGTAACACATCTGTGGCTTTCATCAATACTACCCTGATCAGACAAGACTGAACCTTAGGGCAAGAGACCTCGAAACATAAATCTCTACTTTCTTATAACTATGTTAATGTGTATGTAATATGTACTCGGAATGATTATTAAGGTATAGATCAGTTTGATGTTTTTGTCACTGTCCAGGAGTCATCAACAATTCTGACACTTCAGCCCAAACATTGGGACTCTCACAGTCCTTCATGTGAGTACTATGTGATGAATTTGGCATTTTCACCAGATGAGAATGAATAACTGACTGAGTTTTAGGTTATGGCTGGGGGTTAAAAGCAAAACTGGGAAGCGCTTGAGCTCTTCATAATATAATTTTTCCTGCAGCATATCAAATCAATGCCAACAGTTTTGATAATAAAAGGCTGTAAAAAGGTGAGAGAAGGCCATGGTAGTTGATTATATTAATGTGGGCAAATACTCACTGTCCTGTATATTGCATTTGAAAGGCATATACTTTCCTGCCTAATGACTTTGGACTGAGGCCATGATCTCTGACCAATTACATGGGAACAGAAGTGAGAACACACCAATGGTGCTTTAAGAGACGTATTTTACCATGGATCTCTTGGGTTTTTTTGGGGTTTTTTTGTTTTTTGTTTTGTTTTGTTTTATTTTCTTTTCTTTTTTCTTTCCCTACCCTGAGAATGAATATGTCCCATAAAGCAATTGCTCCTTCAGCTTGGGCCCCAAAATGAAAAACACATGTGTTAAAGTCTCAGCCTGTCTAAAGCGAGGAACCATGTGGTGCCCTAAAAGCAACACGAACAAGGAATAACCCTTTGTTGTAGCTAACAAGAAGTTTGAGATTGCTTCATTTCTTAGTAAAGCTGATTAAGACAATCTCTTCTTATAAAACTTCCCTAGAGTGGCCGAGTTGATTTCCTGATTTGGATAGTTGTGATTATGCAGGAAGGTGCCCTTATTTGGGGGAAATACTTGTTGGTATATTTAAAAGTGATTATATCTACAGCTTCATCTCAGATAGTTTAGAAAAAGAATAATGATAATGAATGTGTGTGTGTGTGTGTGTGTGTGTGTGTGTGTATACAGAGAGAGAGAGAGAGAGAACAAATGTGGTGAAATACTAACTGAGAAACATGCATGAAGAAGATAAGGATGTTTTGCCCTGCTTTTTTAATTTTTCTAAATTTGAAACTATATAATAATTACATTATATAATTTATTAAATTATTATAAAAAGAAGTAAGGATAAATTAGAAATAAGCCATTTAAAAATGTTTGAAACATCTCAATCCCTGGAAATTAATTAAATGACTTCAACTTCTAGTTTCCTTAGGAGTATGGTAGAATTAAAAGAATGCTTTTCTTTGGAGGAAGACAACATTCTCACTGTTTTAAATTATATCTATAAATAAATTTTCAAAAAGAATCTCCCACATACAGTAAAAACTAACCAAACATAAGCCAAGACAATATGAGGTGACCATAATATTGTTCCCAAATATTCTTTGCCTCATCTTATGGAAGATTATACTTCCCCATTTCATCGATATCAGACTTGAATGTATCACTAGCCCAGGCCTATAGAATGTGATAAAAATGCTTAAATGCTGCCTCTGTACCAAGGCATTAAGATCTTCTGCCATCTCATGTCCCTTTGCCATGACACTAGAAGTATCTATCATATGTGTAGTCTGTTCCCTCAACTTGTGTTCTGGAGTAGATCATTAATAACTAGGGAAAGATAAAACATAACTACCACAGTGAGATGAAATGTTATGTCCAAAGGGAGCAAATATAAAAATATGTCAAGTGAAAATCCACAGAACTGACAATCCAGTAATTTGAGTTGTATGTAGAGAAACTATTGGACATTTTTGTTTACGACACATGTACATGAATATTCAAAATGTTGTTGCTTATAAAAGGAAATTTTCTACTACTCAAACACCTATCAATATTAAAATGAATAGACAAATATAGTACTATATGTGTAGGGCAAATAAATGTTCTATAGCTTCAGATATCAACATAAGTAAAATTTTAGTAACATAACCTTGAGTGAAGATAAAAGCAAGTGACAAAAGAACACATTGAATATGATTGTCTTTATATATGATTAAAACATGCCAATTACCAAAAGACTATGGGTTAACACGCAAGTGTGTTAAGCTATAAGGAAATCCAAGGAATGATAAACACAAAATTTAAAGCAGTGGTTTTGTGGGGCTCCTGTTTGGCTCAGTTGGTAGAGCATGCAACTCTTGATCTCACAGTTGTTAAGTTGAAGACCCACATTTAGTGTAGGGATTAATTTAAAAAATAAAATCTTAAAACAACAACATCACCACCACCACCACCACCACCAAGATAGTGGTTATCTCAGAATTTATAAAAGGATGGGATTGGGAAGAAGAACAGAGAGCCTTCACTGTTATAGATAATGCTCCATTTCTTGGGCTGATGGTGGTACAGAGGTATTCCTTTTGTTTTTATTCTTTTTACCATATATATATATATATATATATGCATATATACACATATATACATATACATATGAGTGCATGAATATGTATATTCTTTTGTATGTGTAAATGTTTAATAAAATAATTTAATGAAACATTTGGAAAAAATTCACAGTAGGAGGAGAGTAAAGTAAAAACTGGATACGGTGAATATAGATAATTCTTGAAAGCTTCCAGTGTAAAGAAAAACATTAAAAAATGTAGGACTGTATGGAGGATACTTGACACAAATATTTGTTTTGTTTTAAGTTGCAAGAAACTCCAACATTTTGGCAATGGAAATTGATCATGGAAGAAGAGAAAGCAATGAGGACACAGACAAGTATCAATTGCTAAAGTGGACGGTAGCTGAAGAATCCAGTGCATACGTAGAGAGGGTGGCAGTGCACAGATACCAAGCACTGTTCATCCATAGTAAGAGAAAATTCAGATTTTAAGGAAAGAGACACATTTGTTGTTGATGGTAGAGGAGCTGTTTTTCTTTACAATAAAGAGAATAAGCAAAATCCCTGTAGTACTCTTTATTGATTTTTGAGAGACAGAGAGACAGAGTGCGAGTGGGGTAAGGGCAGAGAAAGGAGGGAGACACAGAATCTGAAGCAGGTTCCAGGCTCTGAACTTTCAACACAGAGACCGAGATGGGGCTCGAACTCATGAACTGTGAGATCATGATCTGAGCCAGAATTGGATGCTTAACCCACTGAGCCACTCAGGCATCCCTCTGTAGTACTCATTCTAATGCAAATACCTGTATTTTAAAAATTGTGATGTTTAATCAAATTTGGGTACAGATTAACCATAGATAAAGATGTTAACTTCTAACACTTGTCTCCAATAAGAGATACTTAATACAAGCTATAAGCCACTTGGCTTCTGGCAACATGGCTATCTAGATATTCTGAGAGACAATCAACAAAGAGCAACAAAGTTCTGGATAAAATATACCGTTTAGTGCTTTCCTAAGCTTCCTAAAAATGGAAGGTATCGCTACATTGCTAAAAATGGAGGAAAGATCTTCAGGCCAAATCTGCATTTCCGTTTGTTTTTGTAAATAAATTTCATTTTAACGAAGTGACACACTCATTCGTTTATGTGTTGTTGTTCATGGCTGCTTTCAAACTACAATGACAGAATTGAATAGTTGCAACACAGACCATATAGTCTGCAAATATTTACTATTAGGACTTTTATGGAAACAAAGATACATGAAGGAAAGAAAGAACCCCGAAGTGTTTCTGTATGTTTAGCATCCATTTTCCCCCTATTATTAACCTCTATATACTTCTCTGGTACATTTGTTACATACTACTGAATCAAAGTTGGTACATTATTATTTACTAAAGTCTATACTTTTAGAATTTTATAAATGTAGTCTAACTCCTTTACTTGTACCAGGATCACATCCAGGGTACCACATTATACTTAGGAGTCATTTTTTTTTTAGACATCTCTTGACTGTGGTGGTTCCCTGGAGTTTCCCTGTTTTTGATAAAACTCAAGAGTACTGATCAGGTACTTTTTGTAATACCCTTTCTTCAGTTTAGGTTTATCTGATGTTTTCTCCATGGTTATACAATGGTTATAGGTTTTTGGGAAAAAGATCAGCAAGGTTAAGAGCTATTTTCATCACAAACTAAGAGAATTTTCTATGAATATGTCTTATCATTGAAGATGGTAATGTTGATTGAGTAGCTGAGTTAGTTTTGCCAGATTCCTACACTAAAAAGTTGGGGCGCCTGGGTGGCTTAGTCGGTTGAGCATCCGGCTCGCTTAGGTCATGATCTCGCGGTTTGTGGGTTCGAGCCCCGCGTCGGGCTCTGTGCTGACTGCCAGCCTGGAGCCTGTTTCGGAGTCTGTGACCCCCTCTCTCTCTCTGACCCTCCCCTGCTCACACTGTCTCTCTCTGTCCTAGAAATAAATGAAAAAATATATGTATAAAAAAAAGTTACCCTTCCCTCCCTACCCTACCCTACCCTTTTTCCTTTCCATATTTTGAAGGAAGGTACTACTGAATCCTACCCTTAAGGGATGGAATGGGGAGTTACACATAGCTGGAATATTTCTGTATGGGATATTTATATGTGCTCCCATACTTTATTATTTATTCAGTCATTGGCTCATATCAGCATGTTGTATTCATGTTTATTTTATACAGTGGGTTATAATCTAGTACTATTTTATTTATTTTATTACCTAAATTGCATTCTCAGGTGTTTCAGTCATATAAAGGAACTCTATGGAACGGTACAAGTTAGGTGTAGTTACAACCCTCATATGAAAATGCTTATGAAGCATTTACCAAGCATTTTACATAGAAAAGGCTTATCAAGCAATTTCTAGTCTTAATTTGGCATCATTTCATCAGTTAGTCAACAAGCATTAAATGTTTCTAAGTATCTAGTACTTGTCCTGAAAGCATTGTTCTAGAAATTTAATTAACATGAAGGTAACCAGAAACTTTTAGCTTTTCTGGAAGCACAGAAGCAAAGCTACAGTGGCTACCTCACAGTGGCTACCTCTGTGACCTCATCACTTGATACTACAAGGCTCTTACTGTCTCCAGCTCACACACTTAAGTCCAGCTCAGGGAAGATGACAAAGAATTTCAGAGGACTTGAGGTTCCTCTGAGTTGGAATTTTATTTATTATGTTTTAACTGGGTATCCTATTTGAATTTTAAGCTAGATCATCTCTTCTTTCTTTCTCCAGGGAAGGTACAAAGATTTCTGGGTAAACTGTGGGGAAATGAGATTGTTCCAAATTCCAGGCAGGCCAATTTGGAATACATTGGTTCACTAAAGAACTGAAGTCAGAAAGATACATGGGTTTATCCTTGTTTAGTTATATGTGGGCAGCCCCAACTAACAGTTTTACAAAACACAAAATTAAAAAACTTATTCTAAACAACGTTAAATGAAAAAAATCATGACAAAATGGCTATTTAAAAAATAAATGACAATCGTTCCCTTCAGAGATTGAAATTCTACTTCCCACCCCACCCCAACCAAATCTTAATAGTTTCGAGACTCTCCAATTTTTGCATAATGTGTAACTATGTTACACATTTTTAAAGAATAGCTTTGATTCTGAAAAATCATAATTACTGAACAGGGTGTGAGAAATCCCTAGACTTTCCCCCAAAGACTAGGAACACAAACCATATCAATTTATCCCTAGATTTGAACTTTTAAGTTAGCAATTAAAGATGTAATATTTTACTAAAGGCATATAGTGAATTTTTCATGATCTTGTGTGTTTTCTGATTTAGAGAAAGGAGGCACTGAGTGTTATAATAGACATGGTATAGAAAAAAATCATCAATAACATATGGAAAAATAAGAGATATAAGCCAAGACAACATTGTTTAAGTAGAAAATAATAATTCTTCTTTTCTTCTTTTTGTTTTTGTTTTGTTTTCCTGGCAAATATCACATTCTTTAACACTTTATAGTACAGAGCTTACATTCACTGCATCGTATATATAGGGCAGAACGACCTCTAGAACATAAATATTTCAAATGAGCTAAAGACATTCAAGCATAAATAAACACTCATTGAGATTATTTATAGACATTTGGAAATCAGTCCAGTTCTGCCTAAAACTTATATAAGACTAAGATAAATGCCAAATTAAGCCATTTCGCAGAAACTAAAAGAAAATAAAAAAGGAAATAGTAGGTATAATTATGCCTCCAAATGTTATTTATTCTTTAGTTTATTTCTCCCAAGGTCTTCAAAGTCCATGCACAGTTATTAATATATATTTATGCATATATATGTATATAAGTATATGTATATACTAAAGATACTACTAAATGGAAAAAAAGCAGCCATAAATATAAAGAATTTGAAATGTTTGGTTATTTTTAATTCAACAATTTAAGCTGTGTTTTCCTACATCATGCACATAGATCATAGATGTGTAATAATTTATAGATTATATATTTGTGTAATATTTGTAAAGAAAGAAGAAAAAGAAAGAAAACAAAAAAGATCATAGCGTAGAAAAAAATCTTGTTTTGATATGAACATTTCAATAATCATGTGAATCTGATCATGATCCTTCATATGATTCCTTCTCTACCAATCCAAAATTTGAAAAAAGTGAAGAATGATGAGAAGAAGGCTTTAATCTCAGATGTATTAAGAAAACCCTTCTTAGATTTCAATTTTTAACTTCAGTGTTGACCCCTTCATTTGCTGCTCATAATGTATATTAAATTTCTCATTCAGTGCCACTGTAAAGTGATTCTTCCAGTCTCCTGTAATTCCTATAACAAAAGAGAAAACGTAGTAAATATTATGATTTCCAGCCAGAATCATGCCATTTTCTAACATTTATGATATTCATTAACACCTAATCAAAATTTATTCTTATAATCTTCAATTATAAGAATAAAATTTTACCACAAATAGTACACACACACGCGCGTGCGCACACACATTTGAGCAAAGAAAGATTTGTCCTGATTGTTAAAAAAACAAATGAACAAAACCCAATTCATTTCTCTGACTCTTCCCTCTTGTGCTTCTTTAATTTTTTCTCCTACAATTTCCTCTGAAATGCTGGTGCTCCTTAGATGAAATCTATGTTTTATCCACTCCCAAGATATGAAATACCATCTTCATAATAAAACTCAAATACAGGCTTATGTCTCCGTATCAAACTGCCTATCTGATATTGCCACTTGGATTCCATACAAGGATCTCAAATTCAACAAGTTCAAAATTAAATTCATTTTCTTCCCCACAAAACTGTTTTGTGTACTTTTTCATAACCTAATTAATGACCACAGCAGGTATCCAAGGCATAAATTCAGAAGTCGTCCCTCAACCGAGTCTAATTCTATACTCATATTCAGAGTTTCTTCATATCCTTTGCTTCCACTCAATTTTTGCTGCCACTGATAGTTACTATTCTCAGCATTTCCCAGACTTCTGTTATTGCAAGTCTAGCAGGCCCTTTTGTTTTCCATTACATCCTATACTCCCCTGGCAGAAGGAGTATTTTAAATTAGTAGTTCCCTTGTCCCCTTAGCTCAGGGAAGTCTAAACTTTCACAATTAAATAACCGCTAAAGATAGAAAATGTGTCCTGAGAATTGAGTAGGGTCTGAGGTTATAGCAGTGTGCAGCCATTTACAAGCATGACTACTATTTTAAGTCCATTATTTTATCTTAAAAATACACATGGACACTATGACTAAAAAGACTGAGATAATCTGAGAACTAAACAATGAAAATTTCATCCATATGTTAACTCTCTTTTCCGGGGCTGTCTGTTGGTGCCAGTGGCAGCTTTGTTGTTCCTATTATTTTAAATACCCGGCCCTCTCACTGAAAGTTTAGTTCAAAGAGCAAGATTTTCTCTATCCTGTTTATGTTTCACATATCAGTAAGGCCAGTGTCCCAATACTCTGCATACTCTACATGCCTTTGGGTTTATATACTGACCATATCTCATCAGACAATTCCTCCTCTCAATAGAATGTCACCTCATTGTATTTTGATGTTTTTGGTTAAACAAAGCTGTACTTACCACAAGTGCTTTGAAACTTAATCTCTTTAAAACAATCTTAATGAGGTGAACTGATATACAAAAACTATACATTTTTTTGTGTACAATTTGATGAGTTTGGATATTTGCCACTTGGTCTTGAAAAATGTTTGCCACTCGGTCAAGGCAAGGCTCATTGTTCTAGGCTTGTTTCCTCATCTCAAAGTGAGGTAACAGAGAAGTTTCCTTTTGAATGTCTGGTTTGAATTTAAAGAGAATTAGAATTTTTAAATCATATACATTTATATAATGTACATGGCGCAGCACCAAGAAACACAGGTTTTATAAATGATTGCGAGTAGGGTGTGGTATTAGTGCCAGTACTAAGGCTGGGGTGGCTGCTGGCCATTCTTCATATGCTGCATATACTAAGTAAGCAGCAAGTAGTAGCAATTTAGTAGTAGTAGTAGTAGTAGTAGTAGTAGCAACAGAAATACTAATGTTTTAATGGCTCTTTAGACTTGATAACATAATAAAAAGATTACTCAAATGTAAAACAGTCTTGAAAACAAGCTGGGTTCACAGGAGAAATAACTTCAACGGGTGTTTGCCTGTAACTATTTCAACCTGTGACTTCTTATAGCAATAAAGGCAAATTGCAGGACTATCTCACCCTTTCTCATGAAGGGAGAAATTTTTTGGTTCATGATTTCATCTGGTAGCACTGTATAATTGGTAGATGGGTTGTTCTTCATCTCCTGGAATGAAGTATGTTGTATAATCTTGTCCACAAGCTCCTCTGATGGCTTCCTTCCCAGAAATTGTATCACTTTTATCACCTCTTTTCTGATTTCCTAGAGAAAAAATATTTTGAAACTTCAGTTACTAAAGTTAAATACATTACTATTTGGATTAAGACAGAGAGAGAGAGAGAAAGAGAGAGAGAGCACCCCTTTCCTGATATTGGCTTCAAATTAGGCTCCAAATGAAAAAAAAAAAAAAAAAAACTTCTTGGAGAAGTGGAATTTTTTTTAACTTCTCTAGGCATAATTTTCCTTATCCATAATGTAGATATAAAAGATACTTCAAAGATTGTTAGAATCAACTAAATGAGATGATGTTTATAAAATATTTATTGTAGTCTATGATGCTTACTTAGCATATGCTCAATAACTATTATCTAATAATATGAATATACACTTTCAAAGACTATAGTCCTCTATGACAGATTAAGTTTGGGGCTGAAAATATGTACACTGTTTCATTTTTCTTCTAACTTATTGATGTACATACTGAGAAGCAAAGTAACCAAAAAGATTAAGAAAAAGTATAAAAACTCACATATTCAACATGGAACATCAGATGTATATATGAACCATAGCTACGAACACCCCTATCCCTATGTCACTCTTACAGCGTGCCCTACTGTCCAGCTAAGTCATTCAATGTAACTATTTGCAATACTGGCTATAATGCTTATTTTTGGTGTAGAGTTCCCTTTACAAAGAATGCAATTTTCAAGTTCTCTGTCCTACAAATTACAGCTTGCCTGTCAAACTTCAGTTCAAGTATCACCTTCTTTGGGATGATTTCCTTGACTATTCCAATTTGAGTGAGATGACCCTATTTTTGCTCCTGTAAATTCCCATATAACTCTTTATTCTCATAATTTTATTTACTTGTCTGTCTTCTACCAAAAAAGTTTGTATATCTGTATGTAATGTTAATATATCTTATTCTCCTTCTATTTGATACATTGTAGAGACAAAGGAAAACTAATTTATTAATTCTTAGGCTTCTTAGTGATTCAGATATAGAGGAGACTTCAACATGGTCGTTATCAACCAAATTAGGGAATAAATGAACATAGACATGGGAGGGGATTGAAATGGTTAGATTAGCTAATATTTTTTGTGTGAATTTTAAATTTATTCTCTTTAATATTCTAGTTATAGAGCACAATATTAGTATAATAAACTACATATCGTGCTTGTTTCTCATTCAAATTTGTTATAGTGTTAAATTCTATAAAGAAATAACACTTCAGTTTCTAAAATATTATGTATGACTTTATCTTAAATTTCTTCTAATAAACATAACTCTAGAATTTTTGCAACATAGAGTTTAATAATTGTGCAAAGGTGTGAGCAAGAAATGATTATTGACGGCTTTTTTGGTGCTAATAAAGAATGAGAGAAGAAAAGACATTTCTCTTCTTTTAATAAAGAAACCCAGGATTTGTCTATCTTCACAAAAATTATTTGTATACATTTGTGCGTCAACCTACTACTCAACTTATAGAATAGAATATTCAAAATTTCTGGAGTTCTTCCATTTGCAGGCTTTGAGCTTCATTCTTTCCACTCTCTATTCCCATAAACAACAAAAAACACCAACATAAAACCTACTGCCCTAGCACTGATCTAATCAATCCTGTACCTTACTTCATAGTTTTCAAACATACACATATTATCCATAGACAATATATGTTTGGTTTTGCCCAATTGATGTGCATAGTTGATATTTACTCCTTTTCATTGCAATGTCATATTTAATTGTAGGACAATAGGATACATCATGATTCTTGAGCCTATGTATATTGGGGTTGTTTCTAATTTTTATAGTTAGGGAGAATGCTGCTATGAAGATTTTTGTACCTATAACCTAATATACACAAACCAGAGTTTCTCAAGAGTATATATCTACTGCGGGCATTTGGGGGCATTAAATTATGTTTGTTTGCCCTTCTTAGATAATGACAAATTGTTTCCATAGTTTATGTATCTTCTTATCCTTCTATCAGTAATGTGGTACTTCTCAATGATCCACATTAACTGACATGTTAATTGTAGTCAGTTTGGTGTGTGAAATACATCTCATAGTGACTTTTATTTTGCATTATTCTGATTACTAATGAAGTTGAAATGAATGACATTATGAGGAAATTTGAGATCATCATACTTTTGCATATTGGTCCTCTGACATTCAGTTTATTCTCTTCTTCTGGAGGTTTGAGTTAATAGATGTGGGACCGTATCACTATCCTATATATCCATTATTCTATTTTTAAAGTATTCTACTCATCTCATTGTGGTACATTCTACCTAATTTCCTCTGCTCCATTTCCATTTCACTAACTCACTATTTAACCATGTTTTATCAGTTATATAAACCATTTCTTATAATTTTTAAAAATTATTTTAGAAATTCTATTTTGCTATTTTTTTTCAAATCTGCTGAGTCAATTTTAGTAACCTCTTCTTTCTTTGTAAAATATTTTCCTTCTTTTATTTCTTTAAATATATTAAACATAAATGTTTTATAGGGTTTACCTGATAATTTCAACACCTATACATTTGGAGGCAGTTGACCAGTTGACGCTTCTTGTCCATTGTGATTCCTTATGTGCTGTTGTGCGTGTGTGTGTTTGTTGTTGTTTTGTTTTGTTTTGTGAACTCCAGTTTTTTCAAATTTTATCTTTGGTAATTTTTTGAGACTTGGTTTAAATATATTTATTCATAGAAGAGTTTTATTTAATAGCTTCAAATCTGTGTTAATGTATCTGGATTATTATAACCTTTGGAGGTACTTGCATCATCTATTTAAAGACATATTTTTGTATCTAGAGTCTTGTCAAATGCTAATATTTTAGAAACTACTAAGTTGCTCATATGTTTTCTTTTTTTAAAAAGTGTTTAGGGGCACCTGGGTGGCTCAGTCAGTTGAGAGTCCGACTTCGGCTCAGGTCATGATCTCGAGGTTCATGGTTTAGAGCCCCACATTGGGTTCTGTGCTGACAGCCAGCTCAGAGCCTGGAGCTTGTTTCAGATTCTGTGTCTCCCTCTCTCTCTGACCCTCCCCTGCTCATGTTCTCTCTCTCTCTCTCTCAGAAATAAAGCATTAAAAATTTTTTAAAAAAGTGTTTAATTCCAGTTAGTTAACATACAGTGTTATATTAGTCTCAGGTGTACAATATCCCATATGTTTTCAATTTCTCACCTTCTTCAGGTCTTCATAGAAGATAAAAAGCACATGTGGATTATTCCTCTTCTCCCACCAAGATTTTACATGTTTATACCAGGAACCATACGGCACTAAAGTTAGACATAAAAGCAATGTAAGAGCATAGTATCATTTTTATAAAGCTTGAAAAGGAGTATTCAAACTCATTCAATACTCATAGCCACACATAAATATGAATAAATGATCATCGAATGAAAACTAGAGGTCAGTCACACATCTTGAGCAAATTTCTCTGCAGCAAGAGAGGCAGAGTATGTTGAATAGTCCATGTACAGAAATACATTCTAAATTTTCAACATTATGACATGGTTTATGACATGGTTTATGACATGGATTACAGTTAATTATCCCATTAACTTGATTCAGAGTTTATACGAGCATTTTTGAAGTGTGTATGTCTGTGTGTGTGTGTGTGTGTGTGTGTGTGTGTGTGTGTAGAATCAAGTTGTCAGTGAAGGGAGATGAATTGGTGAAACTATTAATGACCTTATAATCAGAATTCAGTCAAGGTTGCAAATTTGTCACTTATAAACTAGCTTTGACAACTAAAGCTTGTAACTATATAATTTTTTATTATATTCTTTGCAATTTATACGGTAAGGGTGTTTTATTACGGACTCTTAGTGTTATTTTCACTTTTTAAAAGTTAGAAGATTAGGGGCGCCTGGGTGGCTTAGTCGGTTAACCGTCCGACCTTTGCTTAGGTCATGATCTCATGGTTCGTGGGTTAGAGCCCCGCGTCAGGCTCTGTGCTGACAGCCAGCTCAGAGCCTGGAGTCTATTTCGGAGTCTGTGTCTCCCTCTCTCTCTGACCCTCCCCTGCTCACACTGTCTCTCTCTCTCTCCTAGAAATAAATAAAAATATTTTTTAAAAAGTTAGAAGATTATTTTTAACTTTTTTAAATGCTTATTTATTCGAGAGAGAGATAGAGAGAAAGAGAACAAGCAGGAGAGGGGCAGAGAGATTGAGGGAGACAAAAAAGCAGGTTCCAGACTCCAAGCCGTCTGCACAGAGCCCAATGAGGGGCTCCACCTCACAGACCACAAGGTTATGACCTGAGCCAAAGTTGGATGCCCAACCAACTGAGCCACTCAGGTACCCCCAAAAAGTTAGAACATTTTGAGAATGATGTGATATGCTTAAAAGTGGACTCCATCTCTTCCTTTTTCTTGCCTCATACATATCCCAGTGTCTCACCCAATAAAAAGCTGACAGAATAATATAATGCTATGTGAGTCAAAGTATTCTGCTTTGCATTGCCATTGTCTACCATTTCTGTCCTTTGATTCTACTGACAATTGTTCTTAACAGAAAATATTGTATAATTATATATATGTGATATATATATATATATATAATATAATTGGAATATTGGATGATCTTATTCATCCAATTTGCAGAGGTACAACATTATTTTTCTCTGACTTAGAATGTGGGTTTTGACCATATTGAGACATATGTTTAATTTGTGATGGTTTAGCTTTTTTCCAAAATACAGCAACAAACATAAAGTACATATGTTCTAGTTTTATTGAGTCAGTATTATCTTCTATGGGTACAAAGACATTATTATCATTTTTTTGCAATTATTACTAAAGGATCAGAATGGCCTTCTTTGAATAGTACTAGGCTCTCCTGAATCCTTTATTCATCAAATTTAAATAGTTACCATAGTCTGGAATTTAATAAAAAGGTAAAATTTCCCAGAATTTCTGCTGAATGACTCTTGAGAAATCTAGTTGAAACATTCAAACTATACCCTGGGTGAAAAGAAAAAGAACTTTGTAGATATTTAGACTTCTTTGTAAATTCTCACCCCACAAAGCACTTGAAATTTTCCTTAGAAACAAATGGGCATTCTCTCTTTTCTATTTCTTTGCCCCCTTATTGAATAGAGTTGTAATGCTATGAAATACTTTTCTAATAAAAAGATATGAGAGAGAATTGGGCACTGAACCTCAGTCTTAGAGAGGAAAATGGCTACCTCCATCCAAACACACTTTTATATATTTATTTTTAGGCACTGAACTGGAGTGTCCAGATTCTACAATTTTCCATCCGCATCTGGAAACCCTATGCTTGCTCTGGAGTTCAAAGCCTTCTAGAATTTCTGTGTTTTAATTAAGGATCAGAGAAGATAGCAGACCACAACAGACAACAAAAATGTTTTCTCAGAGATGTCATTTGTCTTGTATCATTTACCTTGAAAGAATTCCAAGTAAAGAGGTGTCTTACCTTGTCCATCCATGAATTTCTCCACAAACTCTCCAAAAGATCCAGGATCTGGATGAGAAGTTACCATTTGAAAGAAATAATAAAAAGAAACAGCCACATCTTTGGCATTCCGGCAAACGTAGACCATCTAAAAAGATGACATTGTATATTAAGTCACTTGAATTTTTTCAAACATAGTCTCGTCAAGAAGAATTTACGCTTTCAACTATGAACATAACCATCATAAAGTATATAAAATTATAAAGAAGAAAAATTCTTCAATAGCCTGAAGTGAAAGCATCTTTTGCACAGTTGTTAAATGCCTTTTCTCACTTTTTATTTTGTATGCCAATGTCTCATATAATAACTCATTTTAATGTCACAGATGCAGTTTTTCATGCAGTCTTGGAGGGAACAAACATGTTTAATGGGGGTATACATTGATCAAATTGATCAAATGCACATTGATCTCGGTGAAAATGTAATCTTCACCAACATCATGTTGAATTTCTCTATTACATGTAGAAGAAACACCAATTGGAAAGAGCAGCCAGGAAGACTTGGTTTTAGTTGCCAATCTGGCACTAAAAAGTTCTATCATCTTGTGCAAAGCACCAGTTTTGGATCTAAATTTTCTATCCAGTAAGCAAGCGAGTTGTGTTCAATTTTTATGGTCTCTTCTAGATCCAGTACTCAGTGCTGCAGGAAAAGATCTGCAAAAGTAAACTCCAGCATCCCTTTGGTCTCCACTTCTGCCCTCAGGCACCTGAACATTGCCATCAGGAAAGGCTGTTCATGACTCTCCACTGTTTACTGGATTTGACTGGGCTCAATAACTTGACTTAACTTCAAGTTTCTACATTTGCAAACAATTTTTAAAGAATTCTTGCAGTATATTCTAAGAAATATGGCTCCTGTTTTTAAGACCCTGCTAGAAAAAATATCCAATTACTACCAAAAAAAATGAATTTTCTTTTCTTACGAAAGCTATCATTAGCCATATTGACCTTTTCCAATCTAATTTAATACTCTCCTTGCTTTTTGCATATTAGTTGAATGGAACTCATTGCCACTATATCCATGAATTTACTTCACATTTTTACCCCTTGCATTTCTTCAGGCTGTTCTCTCTGTCTTGAGTATTCTCTAAATTTCAAAATACTACCCATATTTGAAGCTTGGTTCCAGGTCTCCATGAGGCTTTTTATTTTCCCAGGTAGGGAACAGGGGTAACAATAGCAATCCCTCTTCCCCTAAATTTCTGTAGTTTGTCTTATCTTCATGTTAACAGATACTATTCTATACCCCCAAAGTTTTTGCCACACATGCTATTCCTGTCTTGGAGGGAAATCTAGGCTTTCTTGAAGATAGAACTTTGCCTGCCTCACTGTCAAGTCAAAGTTGCTAGTTTACCCACAATTCTCTTGGGATGATAATCCATTTTAAAATCCTATCCTTGAACAACTCCTGTTCCTGTGATACTCAGTTCATACCTCTCTCAGCTAAAGTTTAGGTTCATTTCCTCACTTTAACTGAAAATGTGAACATCTGCCTCATTGTACTATTCTCCACTCCTAATCTTGTCATCATCCAGTGTAACTTTAGTATCTGTATGCACGAAGCATCTAATTCACTAGGTTCTTGTATTCATTGATCATTACTTTTAGTTTACCACGGCTGAGCACTTTATGCTGAATCTTGTCAGCACCCTAAAGGTTTCACTGCTGAAGCTTTATTATGGGGTATCATGTTTTCTTCCAAGAAAGGCCTACTCCTTCCTTCTTCTTTATCAGTTTTTCTCAATATACCTGTCCTGCAACAATTCCAAGTTCTTAAATTTACTGTCCTCAATGTTTCTCTTATCTATTAGTTTGACCCCCTTTCCCCTCACTTTTTAAAATTCTGTTTTAGCTTCTGGTTTATCACTCCAATTACACTTTTACTAAGAGTCCCAATCCATCTATCTGCTTGTCCCCCAGTGAATTACCCTAGAAATACTCAGGGCATGATTTCTTCTAACTGTTTGGTTGATGTCTGAGATGATAGTCAGTTTTGTGAATGCTAAGCAGTTTGGTGAAGACTAAGACTGTTGTAAATGTATTGTATCTATTTTCATTTGAGAATTGAAGGGGCTACAACCCGTTCTCCAAAGGAAAAAGAAGTAACTTAGTCAAATCTCTTGGGAAAAAAATGGTGATTGCATATCTCTGGAAAATATATACACAGTCTAATGAGGGAAACTTTATGTAATGAATGATGTCAGCAGGATGTACGTGCTCCATCTAGAATTGCTTTTGATAAAGATTAAAAGAACAAATAAACATTAGAATCTTTGGAATTTTGGACCATGGATCTCTAGAGAAATGTCAAATACAGCAGCTAATGTTAGAGTACAAAATAGAAATGTTTCCTGATTGTGATAAACCCCCTATTTTGTTATTACAGCTGCATATAGTGCTTTGGTATTTCCTATGTGTAGCAAACAGGGTTGTAGTACATCCTAAAGAAAGCTAGAATGGTCTTGAGAAACATCAATGATCCAAGATGTAATGTTTTAGGGTTACATGTATCATTCTTTGTAAAAAACAAAACTGATCATGTCAGTCATCCACTCAAAATGTCTGTAACTCCTTGTTACCATGAAAGAGCCCAAGATTCCTGACTTAACTTCAGTGTCTGTTGTGATCAAGCCCTAGCTTATCTCCCTTCATTTACCCAGCCAATGTGTATAGTCAACCTAGCAACTAAAATGACCTTGTTTCAGATCACCACAGGAGTTGCCTGTGGGCAACTAACTCCTATACATCTTTTCAACATCAGCTGAGATGCTCTTGAATATCCTTCTTACTGTAATATCTGGGCTAGAATTCTCTTACTTGACCGATGACACCTCCTGCATTATCTGTTTATTTGTTCCTTTCCCCCAAGTGGACCATGTGATCATGAGGACAAAGCTTGCACATGTCTTATTAATCGTTATATTGCTGGCACACAACAGGCATTCAGTAAATAATCATTATATAATACTTGTCTGGTTTATCTTTTTCTAGTTCACTTGAATGCCTCAACATGCCAAGTACAATAGTTTGCAAAAAGAAATACATTCAATACAATCAGTAGTAACAAATACAAAAGTGGTTACCATTTATCAAATTTTTATAATATACTAGAGACTGTGTTAAGCACTTAACAAGCATTATTTCATTTAATCCTTAGAATAGCTTCACGAGGAAGATGTTATTTTTATCCTCTTGCAGATAAGGAAACTGTGACTTGGAGTTTACCTATTTTTTTCCAAATCACCTCTAGAGTTGGAGTTGAAATCTAGACTCTAACTATACTGACCTTAATCCATATTTATTAAATATCTGTAGGTTCCATGAAAGAACAAATAAACAAATGTATACAAGACACAAGATGTTACCTGGCTTGATCATTCTAAAATTATTTTGAGGTGGATAACTTTTTTTAAATGCTGGTTTATTTTTGAGACAAAGAAAGCCAGCGTAAGGCAGAGGAAGAGCAGAGAGAGGTAATCTGAGGATCTGAAGCAGCCTCTGCACTGACAACAGAAAGCCTGGTGCGGGACTCAAACTCATGAACTGTGAGATCCTGGTCTGAGCCAAAGTCAGATGTTTGACCAACTTGAGCTGCCCAGGTTCCCAGATGTGGATGAAGTTTTAAGAATACTAGACTCTGGTTACCTTACAGTTATTTTCCCAAAATGAGGCTGGAAGAATGTCAGCTGGCAGATGAGTCTTCACGATTCTAGGAGATGCCATCTCTTTTAGTTGTTTTACTCCTGATTTTTAAAAAGTGAAAGGTTATATACAACTTCCAAAATTACAAATATTTATGTGGATTTTATCGATATTTTTATTTTTATTGATATTAAAATAGAAGTAACTTTAAGATTCTATATTGCATTCATAGTAATAATAATACATACCCACTATGACAGAAGTTCACAAAGAGGAAATCATAGAGAAAAAAAGCAAGATAACATAAAATTTCACCATATTGGAAAAATAAGTATTAATATTTTGGTGAGCAGCCTTCCATGTAAATGCAGTTGGCCTTTGAACTACGTGTGTTCGAATTGCCTAGGTCGATTTATAGATGGATTTTTTTATAGTATAGTACTACAAATGTGGTTTCTCTTAGGATTTTATTAATAACATTTGCTTTTCTCTAACTTACTATGTTGTAAAAATACAGTATATAATACATGTATAACATACAAATATGTGTTAAATGACTGTTTATATAATTGGCAAGACTTCTGATTTAAGCTTCTAATAGGCTATTAGTAGTTAAATTTGGAGGGAGTCAAAAGTTACATGCAGATTTTTTATTGTGTGAGGGGTGACCATCCCTAACCCCAGCATTGTACAAGGGTCAACTGTATATCTATATGCCCAGACTCAGAGCCATCTAAATACCACACATACAGATGGAATTTTCAGTATCTTCTAATTGACTTTTTCCTCAGTATATTATACTGAAACTACAAGAAACATAAGTCATCCTAATTTTTTAATGATTTCACAGTGTTATTATATCACAATAAGCTATTCCTTTTTTCATTAACACTTAAGTTTTTCTAATTTCTCACAATATGAGAAGAACCTGTGATGAATATCCTTTTGGTTATATCCTTGAAATATTTACATATTTTTTTTAGGGTTTAAAGTATTATCACATTCAGCCGTATAGGGACAAATGCTTACATATTACTAGGCTCTAGTGAAGGCATAAAAATATCTATCCTTATCCACTCTATTTCAGACAACTGTTACATCATAAACTCTATCAAGATTTAAATTTAAATTTATGTACTCTCCATGTAGAAGACATAATACTAGTTGCCACTCTTACTTACACTCTCTTTTTTTGATCCACACTTTAAAATATATGTACACAGTTTCTAAAATCTACTTAAGTATTACCATTCATCAACTCTTCTGTTCTGCATTCCAAAAAAGGTATCCGGTTAAAAATGACATCTTGTTTGCATTTTTCCACATCACCATCTTTGTAGATCATGTATATAATTTCACTAACCCAGGTTGTACCTGTAAAAATTAGACAAACCTTAGTGTCCCACTGACAATGCAGGGGTGCTGACGCAAGTAGTGGATTTATAGCTGGATAACGTAGGAAGGTACCAGTGCAATATTATTTGAAAAATGTCAGAACAGCCACAGAACTTGGAGAACCTGGGTGGCTCAGTCTGTTAAGCATCTGACTCTTGATTTCAGCTCAGGTCATGGTCTCATGGTTTGTGAGATTGAGCCCCATGTCTGGCTCTGCACTTGGGATTCTCTCTCTCCCTCTCCCTGCCCCTCCCCTGCCTCCTCCTCAAAATAATAAAATTTTAAAAAAAGAAACTTTAAAAGAAAAGAATAGTCACAGAACTGAAGAAATATTTCTTCTAACACTTAATCTTATAAGACCCAAAAATAGTCTCAATAAATGGTACCTCTATGGTAACTTCCTGCAGGGAAAGCATTGTATTTAAACATTATCAGGAAAAACAAAGAATAGGACATAGTTCCTGACCTCTAGGACAAGTAAACAATAAATGTGTTTAAGGTAACTAAAGTCATACAAGTGAAGATAATAAACAATTGAATGTTGAGCTTAATTCAAAGAAAGAAAAGATGACTATTGGAGTATGGAGGAGGAAACCTTTCATATGTCTTTCAGGTATGTCTTGAAAAATGGACTACATGCAGATGGGCTGAAGGAAGAACCGAAAAAGCTGAAGCAGTCAGAGAGAAAGCATACTCTCAGAGTCTCCCACATCCATGTATGTACTATTCCTTCAGCCTGGAACACTCTTCTATGAGCTAAACTTCTCATGGCTTTGCTTTGTATACTCTAAGAAACCTCTTAGGAGCCCCAAGTGAGGTGCTCATTTTGTATGTTGTTGCAATAGCCTATTGGACTTCTTTCACCCAAAGCGGTTTCATACTGTATTGTATCTGCCACTTTATTTATATCTCCCACTGGATTATAAACCCCAAGAGGGTAGAGATTAGAGGTGTTTCATTCACCATTATATCCCCAGTAGCTAATATTACACTTGACACATAGCAGGAACTTGATAAATATTTGCTGACTGAATAAATGAGAAAACAGAAAAGGAAGAATCATGCGGAGAAAGAGTGAAGAGGCAACCCTGTGAGAATAAATAGTCCCTACATTTTTTGGGATAATGTGAGGAAGGAGGTGTAATTCATTCATTCATTCATTCATTCATTCATTCCTTGTTTTCAACATATATATTGAGTATAAGCTTGTCACTATGCTAAATGCCAAGAATACATACGTAAGTAAGATATGGTCATTATGCTAGTGTTTCATGAGGATTTAGACTACCTTTTCTGTCTAACAGATATCTGTAAATACTGTGCCAAAATAAAAAAATGTTAATTTTGAAAAAAAGGTAAAAAAAGTAGAGAGACTTGACTAACAGAAGATATACTCAAGCACGGGTTAGTCACAAACTTTACTGATAGCTTCTTATGCCTCAACTTGAATCCCCGTTCAGAGTATACAGAGAAGACTAGATCTAATCCTTGCCTTCTAGTGCTCAGAGGTGCTTTTGAGGGTTGGAAAAAATGCTTTATAATTACAACACTTCTTTTTTCTTAAGATGCTATAATACAGATGGGTACAGGAATTCAAAGGACTACAAAGGAGGAACATTTAATGCAGTGTTCTGTGCTCAGTGTGCTGCTGCTGCTGCGAGTTCCAATAAGAAATGCCTTCAAGACAACATGAGAATTGAATTTAGCCTTAACACATTATTGGCATTAGTTCACCAGTTTTGTGACGCAGAGAAGGGCTCTACCAGGCCAAAGTGTCTTTTTTTCTTTTTCCAATCCAAAGTCAGATACTTAAGCATAGTAAGGTGGTGAGGAAAAGAATTGGAAATAGATTACAAAGCCTAAATTGGAAAAGAGAGGGGTGGGGAGGAGGCTGCCGAGGCAAGCAGACAGCAAGCATAAAATCCCTTGTAGTTCATACTAAAAAGTCTGAGCTTTTGAAAACTTTTGGAAAGGCAATGATGTACACTGTGCAAGAGAGCAAGATTATCAGGATTGTGTTCTGGAAGAATTCTTCTAGCGGAAGGGTAAGATAACAATGGAGTGAGACATATTTGGTGCTTAACATATGTAAATGTTTAAATGTAACAACCAGAGACATCTGGATCAGATCTTCCAAATTTCTAAAGATTTATGACTGTAAAACTCCAGAACTGTGAACTAATTTCAGAAAAAAAAAAAAAAGATGTTGCTTAAAAAAAGAGTTTGGGGGATAGCCTTAAAAAAAGAGCTATTTAGCTGAAAAAGAATTTTTTAAAAGTTTGCAAAAATTCCTTATATTTCATTTATACAATGACAGTAATGGTATTAGATAAACTCAGTTGGTAGTTTAACTTTTTAGCTATGATTCTATATTCATCCATGTATATGACATAATTTTCTTTTTTTTAAAATTGTTTATTGTCAAGTTGATTTTCATATAACATCCAGTGCTCATCCCCACAAGTGTCCTCCTCCATGCCCATCACCCACCTCCCTTCCCCCCCACCCACATCAGCCCTCAGTTTGTTCTTGGCATTCGAAAGACTCTCATGGTTTGCCTCCCTCCCTCTCCTCCACTATTTCCCCCCTTCTTCTCCCCCATGGTCCTCCATTAAGTTCTTCCTAATCCTCCTATACGTGCAAACATATGGTATCTGTCCTCTGCCTGACTTATTTCACTCAGCATAACACCCTCAAGTTCCATCCACGCTGTTACACAGATTTCATTCTTTCTCACTGCCAGGTAGTATTCCATTGTATAGGTAAACCACATTTTCTTGGCCCATTAGTATATGACATAATTTTCTAAAGTGGCCAACAATACTCATCTGTCAATGTGCTACTCAGGTTATAGGCACAGGGTGTCCTCTTAGAATACAACTAAGATATTCCACTTTTTCTATGTGTAAACTACTGTATCTTTATTATTTTTTTTAATGTTTTACTTATTTCTGAGAAAGAGAGAGAGAGCATGAGAAGGGGAGGGTCAGAGAAGTGAGGGAGATACAGAATCTGAAGCAGGCTCCAGGCTCTGAACTAGCTGTCAGCACAGAGCCCGGCGTGGGGCTGGAACCCACCAACCATGAGATCATGACCTGAGCTGAAGTCGGACGCTTAACTGACTGGGCCACCCAGGCTCCCCAAAACTATGGTATCTTTAATATGAAAAGTGAGTGTGGAAGAAGTGAACAGGTTAATATTTACTATTCTAGGTGGGTTTGTCATTTTTAGTTGAAAAGAGAATGACATTGATATAAGGAAACTTACCAGATCTGGGATAAGTGGCAATGACAATGTCATCTGGTCTTGCCTGGAATGTCTCCACATCATTCCAATATTTTATAAACTCTTTATACAATGGAATTCCATGGATTTTGCCAAAGTACTCACAGTCCTCAGATTTGGAAGAATCCATCTTAGAGTGGTACACTAAAAGAAAAAAATTTGTATGTTTTCCACTTTATATGTATTTTAAAATACTTTAACATAATAATAGCTCTGTACATTGAGGTTCTATTGGGCGTCTAGCTATTTCTTAGCTATTGAGCATATAAGGTAAAAGGCGTATTGAAGAAATATATAATATAGTCTTGGTGCTTTAAGAATCTCTAATCCTATTAAGAAAGTAAGTCTAATATATAAAAGAGTAAGAAAATACAAGGAACTATAAAGTATTCAAAACTACATAAAAAGTAATGTTATGCATTTATATTCTATTTACACATAATGTTGGACATAAAAAATTCCATGATGAATGATAACACAAGAGCATTCTGTTTCTCTGTACAAATTGATGGGGTGTGTAAAAAGATGAAGATGCTCAAAAATACAACGATATTTTGGTAGATATTCACTCTCAATTATGCATACATTAAATAACAGTAAAGATTGATGGCCGCATTCAATAGCTATTGCCAGATAGCCACATTAGTTCCTGAATATGTTTCATTTAATGAAAAAATTCAAATGCTTTAAAAGAAGATAAAGTTAATGAAACTGTAATGGATATTCAGAAGACATGGATTCCTGAGGGAATAGAAGATTCCTCTGATATCTCTCACATTCCTAATTTGTCAATTCCCATTGAATGACCTGTCTGAAACTTATAAGGGTAAACAAGATGGTTATCACAGATAATTCACTTCCTGATTCCATGACAATACATTTTGTGTTCAGGGTTGGTCATAGGATTTTTAATTAAGCAAACTTTCTTTCATTGACTCAACTTCTTCTGCTATCTTTTCTTCTTCATTCTGAGTGTGTGATACACTATCTCAACAAATTTGTGCTTCTTTGATATTAGCCTCCCTAGATTTCCTTTTTATTCATTGGTGTGAACCAGACTAATGCAAATCCACCATAATATGACCTGAAGCCTTCTTGAGCACATCACCCTCCACCCTAAAGTATACCCTTGGGGCAAAATGTCCTTGATCTGCTCTGGAGACATGACTATGACACACATCTATTCTTAAACATCCTCCTTTTGGATGGTCCTCTAGCAGTGCTCCTAGCCTCTAGGGTTACAAAAGCAAATATTAAGGAAGGTGGGGTTAAAGAGATCTCCTTATCTTGTGTGGCCCAAGATACTCTTCTGTCCATAAGTCCTTTTAATAAACCATTTCTTTTCAAGCTGGACTTGGCCTTTTTCTTTGGTTTCATAGTTCCTTTGATTTTTGGAGGTCATTTTGCATATACCTCCCTCTGATGAATCACCCTTGCCTAAAAAGCTGCCTGATACATTTATACATTTGTAACTGCTATGGCTTTTACTGTCTTTTTCAGAGAGCTTGTGGTATAACAGTAACCTTCTGGAGGTAGGAGTTATTTTAGTCATTCATTGTGTTTCCTTCAATATAGAGAATCCCAATTCATGAGAAATGCATTACAAAAAGAAAATGAGGTGCACCTGGGTGGCTCAGTCTGTTAAGTGTCTGACTCTTGATTTCGGCGCAGTCCATGATACGATTTCTGAGTTCGAGCCCTGCATCTGCATCTGTCTCTATGCTGACAGTGCGGACTCTGCTTGGGATTCTCTCTCTCTGCACCCTCTGTTCCCCCCATTGCTCTTTTTCTGTCTCTTTCAAAATAAATAAATACACTTTAAAAAAAACAAAGAGAAAATGAAATTGCAATTACCATGACAAACAGATTAACCTAAAATAAGAAATACCTGATGGTAAAGTTTAGGAAGAGAAATCTTACAAACCAAACCAAGTGAATAGACCATTAACTTCTAAAGGCTATTTCCAGTCATGTTTTCCCCACTATATTTGTAGCCTGCACTTTACAGATGGAGACTTTCAAATGTTGCCTCCTTACTCCCCAACACTAGCACCTGGCACTAATCCCATGGACTCTGTCCCTGTCATTTCCCTTATTTTTCAAATTTTGTGCTCACTGCCCTCCTTCAGAACCTATCCAACTATTGGTTGAATATGAAAGTAGCTTTCCAATTGGCTTTCTATAAAAAGTGCAAATCTCTTCTTTCTACAACCACCAGAAAAAGGAAATGGATGTTCTTTCCTAGGCACTTTCTTTGTGCCAGATTTGAAAAGTTTTATTTTAAAATCCTATTTATATGTCATAAAATTACATCAAAAAGCAGATGTCATTAATTAGGTTAAGCCTGTCCTGCATCAGACTTCTTGAAGACAGAAACCATATTTGTCTTACTCAAGGAAGGGCAAGTCTGCACATATTTATATATGTATGTAAATATGCGTATGTATAGGTTCGTCCTTCCTTCCTCCCTCCCTCCCTCCCTCCCTCCCTCCCTCCCTCCCTTTCTTTCTTTCTTTCTTTCTTTTTCTTTCTTTTGTGTCAGAGAGAGAGAGTGAGTAAGCAAACTCGGGGAGAAACAGAGAGAGGAGAGAGAGAATCCCAAGCAGGCTCCACACCGTGAACATGAAGCCCCACATGGCTCTCTATCCCATGAATCATGAGATCATGACTTGAGCCAAAATCGAGAGTCATATGCTTAACTGATTGAGCCACTCAGGTGCCAAAAATATCCTTATTTTGACACGATTGGTGAAAAAAAGTTAAACAACATAAAGGAAATGAAAGTGACTTCTTTATCCAAAGACATAATCACTCTTAATAGCACTATATTTATGCTTCCAAATATTTAAATATATATAAAACCTATACACTTATTTATCTAATTTAATTTGTATTACATTTTATGTTCATTTTGTACTCTATTTTTTCAGTATATAATGTGAGCATTTTGGTGTTAATATATAAATTCTGTTTTTATTCTTATAAATGACACATAGCAGTAATATAGAAAATAATTCTTTAATGATGGAAATTCTTGTTTTTCCTAACTTTTTAAATATATAAGTGGCACTGTAATGAATGTATCTGAGTATATGTCTCTCACACTGATCTTCACAGTGACAATGATATTGCTAAAATAAAAGGTATGATCTAGTAAATATTGTTAAATATTTTTTAATTGCTAAAATTATACCAATTTACACACTCTATGAAATTGTCTATATTCTCATATCCTCACCAGTACTGGAAATTATTTGTTGTAATCTTTCATAATTGAAAATACATGTTTTTAGAAGTTTCAGAGGTATTTTAAAACATCTTTTTGTTTTCAACCTTTATGAATTTATTGATTATTTTGATCCATTTTGTCTATCAGGGGTGTTGCTTTTTCCTAACTAACTGATTTTTTAGCTCATAATTGATTGTTGATTTTATATTGAAAATATGGGTTGTTTTTCTGTTTTAACATTTTTAAAATATTTATTTATTTTTGAAAGAGAGAGAGAGAGACAGAGTGTGAGTGGTGGAGGAGCAGAGAGAGAGGGAGACACAGAATCTGAAGCAGGCTCCAGGCTCTGCGCTGTCAACATAGAGCCCGATGTGGGCTCGAGCTCACGAACACGACATCATGATTGGACACTTAACCAATTGAATCACCCAGGTGCCCCATGTTTTTCTATTTTATGCCAGTAATCTTTAAACTCTTTTAATAGTATTGTATAGAAGTTTATTGTTCATAAAATCAAATGTGTCCAATTTTGCCTTATGTTTGGTATGGTTGCCTAAATATTTACATGTGCTCATATAATTAAAAATACATGTTTTAAAAGTTTATATGTTCATTTTAATTTAGATGATTAATGTGTACATACAGAGAATAGAATATAGTTTTAACAGTGTAGGCCACCTTATTTTTTAATTGCTTTTTTAAACTTCTTTTTTTTTAAGCAAGAGAGTGAGAGTGTGAGGGGGGGAAGAGTAGAAAGAGAGGGAGAGAGAGAGACAATCCCAAGCAGGTTCTGTGCTGTCAGAGGAGAGCCCAATGTGGGGTTCAAACTCACTAACTGTGAGATCATGACCTGAGCCAAAATCAAGAGTCAGATGCTTAAGGGACTGAGCCACGTACGTGCCCTTAGACCACCTTGTTTAAGTCCTAGTTTGCTATATGAAATTGTATGATCTTGGCAAATTATTTAATCTCAACTGAAGTACAAATTCCCATTATAAGTAATAAGCACAAGCCCATATTGTTATTATGTCAAATCCATATGATAATAGAGGACTGTAGAAAGCAAAATGGAGTCTCTCATGTCACATAGGAGCCTGTGTCTGCGATGGCAGGAGCGTTTAGGGTACTGCAACCAAGTATCACTGGGACCAGCATCAGTGAACACCCAGAACAAATAACAAGCATAAGCAGAGGAGGTCTGTCTGCAGGGGTCCCAAGACCGATTAAATCCCTTTCAGAAGGGAAAGATTTTTGCAGCAAACTGTCAGACTCTTTAGACATGACCTTCCTTCTCTGACCACTTAAAAAAAGGCAGCTGTCACTATGGGCTCTGCCCAGTGGATCTCTGAAGAGAACTGAGGTCCTTTACTGCTTGAATATAGTAAGCGGTAACTGCTGGGAGCTGACCCGGACCTGAAGCTTTGTCTCAACTACACACCCACAGACTGACTTCGCATTAGGTTCATTAACTGACTTCCTACACCCTTCTGTTACCTTGTTTGCTGTGTGGTGTATCCTACAGTCGTCTCTCTGCTGTGTAAGAAGCCAAATTTAATCACATGGTGCAATGTCATCGAGTTTGCTTTATGATCAAGATTAATCTCGCTTTAGGATTCAATAAAGCTGACATTGTGGAAAGACATAATTTGCGAGTGTGCCTTAATAGCCTGCTCATGACAAGGAGCCAGACACTTATGACCTTCTAAATTAGAAACAGTACACATTACGTGGTTATATCTTTACAAAGCAGGAGAAATATGTGTTGTCAAAATCTCCAAGAATATATTTCATAAATATAAAATTATCTGGCAAAACTGATCATCAGTAATCTATTTTCTCATTGGAGAGAGTAAAATCTGTAAATGTCCAATATGACTTTTACACAATGTGACTTCTCTGTGTTCACTCCACTGAAGTTCTTTCAGACAGCCCCATATAGTATTTATTTCATTTTGGCCTCAGATTTCACAGCAGAAGAGAGGCACGGAAAAAAAGTTTTTCCTTTGTTTTTGACTCAAGAATGGCTTAACGTATGTTTTGGAAACCACAGAATAACACTGGTCCTGCATGTTTTTACTTAAAGAGGAAAAAAAAAAAATCCCGGTCCCTGTTGGCAAACCCAACTCTTTTTAAGATCTCTGTCTCAAGTATGATAGATGTAATCTCACCAAGGTTGCGAGAATTTGATGAAAAATCAATCTTGTTAATAAATCAGCTTGTTCCTTAAACCTTCTTTGCTGTCAGAATATAGAAATCTTTCACCAGAAGAAATGTGTATAAAGGTGTTGCTTACCCAACCTATTGATTTGTTTATTAAGGTGAACAACTTTCTTGGTGTTCTGCCAAGTTGCAGAAACTGGCTCACAGTCGATTGCGAGTGGCTGATTTATCATGCGGCCCATGGCAGACTTCTGGCTGCCCCTTCTTTGTCAATTTTGGTCTCGGCATTCAACTAAGAAGCATATAATCATATCTCTTTCCTTGTTAACTTGGTAAATTATCTCATATCACAATGTATGGATTCACACTCTCGCTGCTCTCTTCTTTCTCAAAAGATTTATTTCAGTTAGAAATTGTCAGTTTTCTTTTCTTTTTTAAAAAAAGTATTTATTGATTTTGAGAGAGAAAGACAGAGCATGGGGGGCGCAGAGAGGGAGGGAAACACAGAATCCAAAAGCAGGCTCCAGGCTCTGAGCTGTCAGCACAGAGCCTAACACGGGACTCGAACTCAGGAACTGAGAGATCATGACCTGAGCTGAAGTCAGCTGCTTAACCAACTCAGCCACCCAGGTGACCCTCAATTTTATTTTCTAACTCAGTATAAAGGTTATTGTGGTTTAGAAACACCAACAAAAAAAAGTTCTTAAAACTGTGATTTAAAAATTCAATTGAATTTAGAAAGAATTTTTCTTTTTTCTTCCTTTTCTTCCTTTCTTCCTGTTTTATTTCTTCCTTTCTCTAACCTCCCCTCTTTCATCCCTTAATCTGCCTCTTATTCAGCAAATACTCTCTGTGAGTATCTACCTCATTCCCAGACACAGTGTTAAGTGTTGAGCAAACCATAGGGAGTGCAGATGTATAGGGCTCACTTAATCTTTATCATCTCCTACTTACTTGGATTTGGGTAAAATGGCTGAAAGCACACAATATCCTTTCTTCATCAATCTACCCCAGCCCCAGCACTGTGTCACAAAGCAGATACTCAAAAACACTTGTTAAATTTAATTGCTAGATCAAATCTCTCTGGGATCTTCGATTTCAGCTAAGGACTCTTAGACAAAATAGATACTATGCTGCTGAAAATCTACCTGTCAATTATTTACCAAGGACTTGGATATCTGCTGTATTTTTCTGATAGCTCTCACTTAAATGTAATGGTAATATCTACAAGGCCCATGGCAATATGAGACTGCTTCTGACGTATTTTACAGAAGTGATCACCAGACAAGAAGTCACTCTTCATTTTAACTATTTCTACTCTGCTTGCTCTGTTTCCTCATTAGGAAATGAACATACCCAGCATTCAAGACTTACAAAGTAACTATGATACTGTAGTTTTATGTTAAAATTATTTAAACAGAAAAGCATTACATAAGGCAAGATTTATTTTTAATGACAAGCAAATGTTTTAAGAAGACTTTAAAATGATTTACATTATTAAGTAACTAAAGTATTAGTATAGACTTCATTCTCTCTATGTTTCCTTTCTCAACAGTTTTGTTATATATAATTTGCACCTAAACTTCTTTCATCTAAAATTTAAATACGAATATCAGTAATAGTAATAAAAATACAAACCGGTCTAGATGATCCTGGGAAAGAAACTGGATGGTCCAATTTAGTTTTATTCAATCTCCACTCAGGTTTTGGGCTGCCAAAAAAGATGAAAACCACTTATGCATTTCGAATGTTTCTGGGGAGCTTTTATTTTCTGTGCCAGAGAAGGAGGCGGAGATTAGTTTGAGGGGCTTGGCCTTCTGGAGTCTGTGATTCACTGGAGCATCACAAGTATGTATATATATATACCAGCTGATGCACTTAGCCAGAGTCATGCCCATTCAGAGATGTTAAAAAGCCTCTGCTGTTATTTTTCATTCTTGGCTCACAATCAAAGTCCTAAATTTGCCAATAGCAATCAGTGGGGGGTGGGGGGGAGGGAGAGGAAGTGACAGCGAAAATGAGAGAGAAGGGGTTTGGAGAAAAATATAAGAGAACTTGGAAGGGGGAGTCCTTTATTTACTCACTGACAAATAATAAAATGAGGTTGATCTTCAAAACAATAAACTTCCTGGACGAGTGAGAGAAGAAAAAGAGGGGAAAACAGGAGGGCAGTGAGGACCCTGGATCAGGAGACCTAGCTCAGTTTACTGAGACCTGTCAAGGAAGGCTTTGTAGTACCTGGTTGTGTCCTAAAAGGTCAATTGGAAAACACCTCCTGCTTAAGATCTTTGTGTTGAACTCTGAAGCAGCCCTGAAAACAGATGACGGCTAAAGAAAGAATGTAGACGTTACTCACATTTGAATTATTATTTAAAAAATTTCTTTTCTCTGCACCCAAACACATGCTTAACGTAAAGTTAACCATTAACACCAATGGAATTTAGATAAGGGAATGTGGAAAATAAAAGGTCAAAGTTTGTGTAGCCCCAGAACCTTCACCTTTCTTCTTTGCAGCTCTCTGCACCTGCTGTGTCTTCAGATGAGGAAATTCTTCCATGCTCCTACTGCTCTACTCTCATCAATACACAAGCCAATTAGTTTTGAACACGATTACTTCTCATTTGTCTCTTGATTTTAATGAGATGGCATTTCCTCTGAAAGGACTTCCATGACTCACAGAACTGAGTATCTTTTGGAGTCACCTTCAAACCCTACACTATCCTCCTTAACACGTACTCCACCGTGCTGAAATTAAACTTTAGATGTCTCACGTCCTTATTCTTACATAACAAATTTAGACACAATGTTTTCACTCAGTAATCACATTCTTTCTGGCATCCAGCAGGCTATGCATTGAATACACATTAACTGAATAAAAGTGGCTAATGTGTGCAAGGGATGTAAAAAGCTAAGAAAATCATAATCCTTGGTTATAGAAGGCACTCATACCTAGGCCTACCAAAACAAAAAAAGAACAATTGAGTGATTTCTGAGAAACGGGGCTTTTCATGATAAAAAAAAAAATCAAGGTACAACAGGAGTAATCAGACTCAAATTTAGATTTTATACTATTTGGCTTTATGTAGCTGATCATTTTATTTTTATATTTTTTGAATCAGACAAAATGCATGTGTTAGAACACTTAATTATTAAATATACAAATTTAATCTGGACTATAATTTTTTACCCTGTGGCATAGTTTAAGTTAATTTTTTATTGCTATTATTTAAGTTTACTTATTTATTTTGAGAGAGAGAGAGAGAGAGCACATGAACATCAGAAGGGCAGAGAGAGAGAAGGAGAGAGAGAATCCCAAGCAGGCTCTGTGTTGTCGGCACAGAGACTGACACAGGGCTTGATCTCACAAACCATGAGATCATGACCTGAATCGAGATAAAGAGTTGGACACTAAACCGACTGAGCCACCCAGGTGCCCCTATTATTTTTTAATGATATGGATCTGTGAGACTTCCATTATTCTTTACCAAAAATAATCTTTTACCCAAAAAGTCAAGATACAAGTACAAGCTAACCAGAACAGGTTTAGCCTTCAGGTCATCTCTCTTATCTTTCACTTGTAAACAGCTGGTTGCAAAGATGTTCAAATGCTTCTCCTCATGTGATGCTGGTAACTTTGAAAGGCCAAAATAGATTGAAGTCTTAGAAAATCTTGTAAATAAAAAGAGAACAGAAAGGACTTAAATAAATAAAATCACAAATTAAAGAGGAGAGATCACAACCAACACCACAAAATATAAAAAATTATAAGAGAATATTATGAAAAATTATATGCCAACCAATTGGGAAATCTGGAAGAAATGGACAAATTCCTAGAAACATGCAAACTACTAAAATTAAAACAGGAAGAAATAGAACATTTAAGCAGATCCATAACTAGCAAAGAAATTGAATCAGTAATCAAAAATCTCCCAGCAAACAAAAGTCCAAGGCCAGATGACTTTCCAGGGGAAATCGACCAAACATTTAAAAGAGTTAACACCTATTATTCTGAAAATTTTCCAAAAAACAGAAATGGAAAGAAAACTTCCAAACTCATTCCACAAGGCCATTATCTGATTCCAAAACCAGACACAGACCCTACTAGAAACGGAGAATTATAGCCCTATCTCTGTGCTGAACATGGATGCAAAAATTTTCAACAAGGTACTAGCAAATCGAATCCAACAGTACAGTAATAGAATTGTTCACCACAATCAAGTGGGATTTATTCTTGCGTTTCAAGAGTGGTTCAGTATTTGCAAATCAATCAATGTCATTCCACATTAATAAAAGAAAATATAAGAACCATAGGATCCTCTCAATAGATGCAGAAAAAGCATCAGACAAAACACTTTTTGATTCCTGATAAAACCCTTCAACAAAATAGGGATAGAGGGAACATACCTCAGCAGCACAATGGTCATATATAAAAGATCCACAGCTAATGTCATCCTCAATGGGGAAAAACTGAGAGCTTTTCTTCTATGATCAGGAACATGACAAGGATGTCCACTCTCACCACTGTTATTTAATATAGTACTGGAAGTCCTAGCCTCAGCAATGAGACAATAAAAAGAAATAAAAGACATCCAAGTCGACAAGGGAGAGGTCAAACATTCAGTACTTGCTGACAACAGGATATTCTTTGTAGAAAACCCAAAAGACTCCACCAAAAAATTGCTGGAACTAACATACGAATTCAGTAGTCGCAGGTTATAACATCAGTGTACAGAAATCTGCTGCATTTTTGTACAATAAAGAAGGAGCAGAAAGAGAAATCAAGGAACCAATCCCATTTACAATTGCGCTAAAAACCATAAGATGCTTAGGAATAAACCTAACCAAGAAGGAAAATATGTACTCTGTACTCTGAAAACTATAGAACACTTTCAAAAGAATTTGAGGATGATACAAAGAAATAGAAAAACAGTCCATACTCATGGATTGAAAGAACATTGTTAAAGTGTCTGTACTACCCAAAGCAGTCTACACATTCAATGCAGTCCCTACCAAAATAACACCAGCATTTTTCACAGAGCTAGAACAAATAATCTTAAAAAATTTGTATGAAACCACAAAAGACCCTGAATAGCCAATGCAATCCTGAAAAAGAAAAGCAAAGCTGGAGACATCACAATTCCAGACTTCAAGCTATAGTACAAAGTGATAGTGATCAAGACACTATGGTACTAGCACAAAAAAAAGATATATAATCATGGGAACAAAATAGAAAACCCAGAAATGGACTCAAAACTCAATGGTCAACGAATCTTTGACAAAGCATGAAAAAATATCCAATGGAAAAACAACAGTCTTTTCAACAAATGGTGTTAGGGAAACTGAACAGTGACACGCAGAAGAATGAAACTGGACTACTTTCTTAAACCATACACAAAACTTAATTGAAAATGGATGAAAGACACAAATGTGAGATAGGAAATCATCAAAATCCTAGAAGAGAAAACAGGTAGAAACCTCTTTGACCTCAGCCAGAGCCAATTCTTACTAGACACGTTGCCAGAGGCAAGGGAGACAAAAGCAAAAATGAACTATAGGGACCTCCTCAAGATAAAATGTTTCCGCACAGTGAACAAAACAATCGACAAAGCCAAGAGACACCCTATAGAATAAGAGATGATATTTTTAAATGACATATCTGATAAAGGGTTAGTGTCTAAAATTGATAAAGAATATGTCAAACTCAACACCCCAAAACAAATAATCCTGTGAAGAAATGTGCAGAAGACATGAGTAGACACTTTTTCAAAGAAGGTATACAGATGGCTAACAGCCACTTGAAAAGATGCTCAACATCACTCATCATCAGGGAAATACACATTAAAATTACAATGAGATATCACCTCACACCTGTCAGAATGGCTAAAATAACTCAGGAAATAGCAGGGGTTGGTGAGAATGTGTAGAAAGGGGAATCCTCTTACACTATTGTTGGGAATGTAAACTGGTGCACCACTCTGGAAACAGTATGGAGCTTCCTCAAAAGGTTTGAAACAGAGATAACCTATAATCCAGCAATTGCACTACTGGATATTTACCCAAAGGGTCGAAAAATACAGATTTCAAGGAGTACATACACCTCGACGTTTATAGCAGCGTATCATCAATAACCAAACTATGCAAAGAGCACAAATGTTCACAGACTGATGGATGGATAAAGACTATGTGATACACACACACACACACACACACAAAGGAATATTACTCAGCCAACAAAAAGAGTGAAATCTTGCATTTGCATAGACATGGATGATACTAGAATGTATTGTGCTAAGTGAAATAAGTCAGTCGGAGAGAGACAAATACCATATGATTTCAATCGTATGTGGCATTTAAGAAATAAAACATGTGAATATATGGTAAAGGCAAAAAGAGAGAGAGAGAGAGAGAGAAACAAACCATAAGAGACTCATAAAGATAGAAAACAAACTGAGGGTTGATGGAGGGAGGTGGGTGGAAGATGGGCTAGAAGGGTGATGGATAATAAGGAGGGCACTTGTGATGAGTACTGGGTGTTGTATGTAAGTGATGAATCACTAATTCTACTCCTAAAACCAATATAGCCTTGTATTTTTAACTAAATAGAATTAAAATTTTTAACATTTATTCATTTTCGAAAGACAGCGATAGGCAGAGCATGAGTGGAGGAGAGGCAGAGAGAGAGACACACACAGAGTCTGAAACAAGCTCCAGGTACCGAGCTGTCAACAGAGTCCGACGGG